GCTGTTGGTTGAAAATGTGGTACTTTGAATGGATTGCATGTGTTGGAAATGTGGATTTTAGTAAATATCATAAATTTGATTTGTTACATTTTGACAGGCATATATTTTGCTTTCCTAAAATATCAAGCGGATAAGCTAATATTGCTCAATTTGGTTTGAAAGTGGGAAACACTGCATCAACACCAGTACTGAACTTGGAGAAAATATACGATAAGTTCATTCTAGAAATTATTGATGCGACTTCGATCATGGTGTGCCATCCGCTGATTTGGTTTCTAAGCTGTCAATTAGAACCTATATACCAGATTATTGTCTTGCTAAAGTTAATTTTCGGACCACTATATATTATATTTCAACTTTGGTAGCCAAAACATCTGGGATTAGTGTGACTTGTGGCTTGTTCAACCTACCTCTCATTTGGTTTACAACCTTGGCGGCTATGGTCCTATCTCTCATCATTGATTTCCTTGTATTGTTGGTGATCTAGCTTAACAAGCATTGTGTGTGTGCGATTGCAAGTGCAGTAAGACCTAAAATGGAAGAACCTGGACCTAAAATGGAAGAACCTCAAGATATAGAAAATTTTCCGATTACTGTTAATGTGGAGTTATAGTTTAATTATTGGTTAAGATTATTTTTCGAATTAATCCGGGTTTATATTTAACAAACTTGATTTTAAGTTTGTTAAATTTGGAAGAACCTCAAGATATGGAAATTTTTCCGATTACTCTTAATGTGGAGTTATAGTTTAATTATTAGTTAAGATTATTTTTCGAATCAAGTTTCTGGAAAGGAAGACAGGAACATGCATGTTAATTTCCTTACCAAAACTAGAACCGATGCTATACAACCATGGAGCGAAACCTGCCTAAATAAGTATCAGAAGTGAAAGCACCGATTATTGAGAAGATGTTGGAGGATCCACTCCAAATTTGCACCACATTAACCACATATATGCCACTAAGGTTGTTTTAATGTTTTGTATTATTTTAATTTTTTAAATAAAAAATAATTAACAATTAAAATTCAATTAAAATCAATGTATAGATTGATTTTATTTATTATTTAAGGTGACCAGAAAAATCTATTTGAATATTAATAAAAATTTAAGTACTAATTGAGATAAATTAAAAGTTGAAAGTGTCTACTTGTAACAAAATAAAAATTTAAGGTATTTATATACTCTTCCCCCAAAAACAAAAATATGTTGAGCGGAAAGAAAAGTTTGTTAAAACAGTAATAAGTGTGATAGAAAACCTTATATATATATATATATAATAATAATAATAATAATAATAACCAGAAATCTGGATTATGAATTACTGAGATATGCTTTCTGGATTCAATCTTGCTACCAAAAGCTATTTTTGAGATATAAAACATAGAAAAATTATACTTGAGTGTTAAACTGATGTCAATAATTGAAAAGAACTTACTTAGAGATTCATTCCCTTGTTCTCTTTCCTGATCATCTAGGAGCAAGGTTATTTTAGAAAGCCATTAGGATGGCAAAAGGTTACCATCACCCTCCGAAAAGGGCAAAGGATAATAAGATTAAGAAACAAAAAACCTAAGAATGTGATTCCATTATATATATATATATATATATATTTTTGACAGGCATATATTTTGCTTTCCTAAAATATCAAGCGGATAAGCTAATATTGCTCAATTTGGTTTGAAAGTGGGAAACACTGCATCAACACCAGTACTGAACTTGGAGAAAATATACGATAAGTTCATTCTAGAAATTATTGATGCGACTTCGATCATGGTGTGCCATCCGCTGATTTGGTTTCTAAGCTGTCAATTAGAACCTATATACCAGATTATTGTCTTGCTAAAGTTAATTTTCGGACCACTATATATTATATTTCAACTTTGGTAGCCAAAACATCTGGGATTAGTGTGACTTGTGGCTTGTTCAACCTACCTCTCATTTGGTTTACAACCTTGGCGGCTATGGTCCTATCTCTCATCATTGATTTCCTTGTATTGTTGGTGATCTAGCTTAACAAGCATTGTGTGTGTGCGATTGCAAGTGCAGTAAGACCTAAAATGGAAGAACCTGGACCTAAAATGGAAGAACCTCAAGATATAGAAAATTTTCCGATTACTGTTAATGTGGAGTTATAGTTTAATTATTGGTTAAGATTATTTTTCGAATTAATCCGGGTTTATATTTAACAAACTTGATTTTAAGTTTGTTAAATTTGGAAGAACCTCAAGATATGGAAATTTTTCCGATTACTCTTAATGTGGAGTTATAGTTTAATTATTAGTTAAGATTATTTTTCGAATCAAGTTTCTGGAAAGGAAGACAGGAACATGCATGTTAATTTCCTTACCAAAACTAGAACCGATGCTATACAACCATGGAGCGAAACCTGCCTAAATAAGTATCAGAAGTGAAAGCACCGATTATTGAGAAGATGTTGGAGGATCCACTCCAAATTTGCACCACATTAACCACATATATGCCACTAAGGTTGTTTTAATGTTTTGTATTATTTTAATTTTTTAAATAAAAAATAATTAACAATTAAAATTCAATTAAAATCAATGTATAGATTGATTTTATTTATTATTTAAGGTGACCAGAAAAATCTATTTGAATATTAATAAAAATTTAAGTACTAATTGAGATAAATTAAAAGTTGAAAGTGTCTACTTGTAACAAAATAAAAATTTAAGGTATTTATATACTCTTCCCCCAAAAACAAAAATATGTTGAGCGGAAAGAAAAGTTTGTTAAAACAGTAATAAGTGTGATAGAAAACCTTATATATATATATATATAATAATAATAATAATAATAATAATAATAAATTAGTTTATAGAATAAATTAGAATAATTTTTAATATATAGTTGAGTTTATTATTGTTTTATATAAAAAATTTGGTCCATAAATTAACCATATTCAGGATTTTGTAAGTTTTTTTTTTATCATAAAGGTTTTTTTTTTAACACATGGATAAGAGTTTTAGATAATGGATCAAACCTATTTGACTCTCACGACAAGAAAATCTCTTATATCTAAAAGGTATATCATAATAATGTATGAATATGACACATTTGCACATTTTCTTTCAGAAGCATATTCTCTGAATTAATCTTAATGAAATGAAATATATCATTGAGGAAAGATAAATTTATAATGAAAAAGAGAGTTACTCTCAAAGATTGAGGGGTTTCAATACATTTTTTTTTGTAAACTTATAAAAATTTAATAAAAAAACTAATTTAATTATAAAATAAATAATCTAAATTATATTTATAAAATGAAAAGTAAGATAAAATTATAGAGATTAAAATTATAAGATTTTAATAATGTTATAAAACATTAAAAGACAAAAATATATTTAAAAAATTACTAAAATTAAAATATAGAAATTTAAAAATTTTAAGTGAAAAGATAAAAAATATACTTAAAAAATTATGAAAATTAAACTATTTAAATATATAATAATATTATTACAAATAAAATTAGAATATATAAAATAAAAATAAAATGACTAAATAATTTAAAATTTTAAAAAATAAAATATCATAAAGATTATTTAAATAAATTATTAAAAATATAAAATATAAAATAAAATTATAATTACAACTGTACCGGTACCCTCCCAAATAATATTGGTACCGTAAAATTTCTCTTATAATAAATACAATAAAAGAATGTTAAACTTACCAATTTGACTCACGTCAAGAACATGCCGAATGATTATTTTCGTGACTCTCATCGCAAAAGTTGCATGAGCAACCCCTGAAAGTTTAATCAGTCAACAACATTTCTCAATATACTAATGGGAAAGAAGGAAGTGAATGTATACATTTGCGTCAAAATTTGAGTTTGACACATTCACATCATCACGTTACTATATATGTAATAATAGTGTATTTTTAAATAAATGAAAGTTAAACTAAATAATATTTAGTTATTACTAATCAGAGAGAATAAGAGGTTTTTAAATAATTATAAAGAGTAAAATAATATATAATATAAAAAATATAAGGATAAAATTATTTAAAAATTATGTAAAAAATAGAATATCTCTTTTATTATTAATATAAAAAAATATATTTAATAAACTTTTTTTTATGTAATCATTGTATTAGTATGAAATATCTACTACGTATTAAAGTAGTGATTAATCTTCATCATATAAATTTAATAAATTTGATAATACATATAATGTTAAAACTCATTAATAAAAAATTTGAGTTTGATTGCCGTATTAAGGTAAAATTTACACCATTGATAAGAAAAATGTTAAAAACAACTCATATGCATATATATAATTTTTAATACATTTTTGTTTATTTGTTGAAATGTATTATAAATGACAAAATGTTGTGAGTATCATATTTTATTTATTAATTATATGTAATTTTTAATAAATTTTAATTGGTTAAAAAAATTATTATAAAAAGTGTATCTTTATTTCTTAACACTCATTTCGACGATAAATTATGGAACTTTTTAAAATAAATATTATTAAAGTTAATAGATTTATACATAATGATTCATAATTGAAAGATAATTTAATTTTTTATATATATATATTATTAATACATTTTCATTAATATTTTAAAAATTATACTCAAAATAAATTAAAAAAAATTATTTTTTTAATAAGTGTTAAACTAAGAAACAGCTCATTGTTTTTTCACATGTTTTAAAATCAAAAAATAAAATAAAATCCAAGAGATCCAGAAATTGACAAGCCAATAATAATAATAACATTATTATTATTATTATTATTATTATTATTATTATTATTATTATTATTATTATTATTATTATTATTTGAGTGTATCCCTTCATCTAGAGTTTACTTAGACTTCTTACAGGTTGCATAAATAATTATCACTCCAAGAGACACAAACCCTAACCCTCTTTCCATGCTCTTCCTAAACAAAACAATATTTTTTTCCCTGTATAACTACGTCTATATATATACATATCTTATTTTACAGATTTTGATTTTTCATTCGCTTGAAGACAGTAACATTTGTTGAGGTTTGTATCGTAAACTTTACTATATTTTCTGTTTTGATCAGATGTTTTTCTTATAAAAAAGAATAGAGTACAAAACCAGATAATATATAGATTCTCTGGCATGCAAGCACTGCCATTCTCTAGTTCTCATTCTTCTTTTTCTTTTGGTTCATTTGAATCATTAGTACATAGTATAACAATCAACCACACTCAAAACCAGAGAATTACATATCATATAGATATAGTTTTAGAAGATACATAAATTCCTGCAGCAGAGTTAGATATAATTGCATTCTTTAAAACCATCTTTTATATTCTTTATTTGTATTTTCTTTAGCTTTTAAAGATTTAGTAATGAAAGGGGAAGAATAGGATAGGCTAAATTGTAGAAAGAATGAAAAAAAAAATCATTGAATGAAAAATCAAGTTCTGCATGCTATTAATTATTTGGTGTTTCATGCATTCTTTTTGAGTTGTGGGGACCATTTATATATAAACTCTTTATATAGCCTGATGAATTGATATAATGATTAAATAGTAAATACTATTTATTAATATGTTCTGCTGACAATTTATTTAGCGAAGAATTTCGTGATTGATCCTTATTCCTCACCTTATATGAAATGCTATGTATTTTGAACTTCAAATCTCCTTCTATTATATGATTGCTTAATTATGTCATATATATTTACTTTATCAAATTCTCTTAGCAAGATGCAAAGAAACAACACTGGAATGCATGCAGCATGTGCAGCATGCAAGCATCAAAGGAAGAAGTGCAGTGAAAACTGCATATTGGCACCTTACTTTCCATCAAACAGAAGCCGCGAGTTCCATGCTGTGCACAAGGTTTTTGGTGTAAGCAACATAACCAAGTTGGTGAAGAATGCTAAAGAGGAAGATCGAAGAAGGGTTGTGGATTCATTGATATGGGAAGCATGTTGTAGGCAAAGGGATCCCATACATGGTCCCTATGGAGAGTACACAAAAGTTTACAATGAGTATAAGAAAGTGTTGGATGAACTCAAGAGATTCAGAGGTCAAAACCAGTTGTTGCAGTTTCCCCCTCTAGGATTAAAGTCTGTGCAAGATTTGATTGCTTGCAAAGGGGAGCACAAAGCAGAAGTTGATAATATTGCATTGGATAATTATCTGCATGGGAAAAAGAATGGTATTATTCATGATTCTGATATTTATAATACTTATTGTTCAAATTATTTGCAAGAGTTTCAGAATATGAGAGCTGAAGTTGTGATCCCGTTTCAGCAGCACTCTCAACCATACTATATTGCAGGTATCAATCTTTGATTTTTGTTACACTAAATTGGAGGGTTTTGAATTCTCTTTTGCCTTTATGAGGTATGGGTTCACACAGCTACTCTATTACGTGGTTTTAAGTTTTGTTATTTTTTCTGGTGATTAGTTTTACTATAATGTGTTTGGAAAAGACAAAATAAATAAAAAGAAAAGAAGGGAAAGAAACTACATAAGAAATATAATGAAAGTTAAGGTTGTTTCACAAGACAAAAATAAGAGAGAAATAGAAGGAATATAATTTTTTTAATTAGTTTATATTTAATTAAATAAAAACTTAACTAATATCATAAATTAAATTATATATTTATTTTTTACTTTTACAAACATTTTCAACTGGTGAATGATAGTATATTTGTACAAAAATCTTCATTTTAATTAAAAGAGGCAAAAATTCAAGTGAAACTTGTCAAAATTTATCCACACTTTTGGTCATTCTACTCTACTAAATACACTTTCAAAGATAACTTTCAGCTTTTTTAATCTAACTTTCACTCCATCAAACACCCTTAAAGAACATGTTTGAAGGATTAAGATAAAATAAGGATGAATAACAACAAAGTATAATCAAAGTAAGAAAGAATGTGTAGTTAGTAGTAGTAACAAAATTAACGATTCCATGATCAGGAAACAACTAGAGTGACGGGGTGATAGCATGTCGTTGATGGTACTGGCTGTCACGACATTAATGAGAATAGTGTAAATAATATAAATTATATGGTATGCATGGAAGAACACGTATTGAAGAGATGTTAGGTCGTTAAATAAGTTTTCGTATTTTGAAGGATTAGTTTCTGACTTCCAGATAATATCGTTTAAGGCTTAAAAAAAAATAAAGTTGAAAAATATGAAGAAAAAAATTATATTTACGTTCTCCTTCTTCCTATTTCAACTCTCCCACGATATATCATCTTAAGTTATGAATATGAAATATTGATTCACCAAATAGTTTAATAGAATTGGACACCTTCTTTATATTTCTTGTTCTAACCATCAAAAAAGAAACACCTAAACTTTAAATTTTGATGACATTGACAAGAAGTATTTAACGTACACCGTGGAAAGTTTTCAACTACTCCTCCCATTATGAAATAAGAGACATTTTAACAAATTTTTTTTCTTCTAATAAGATACCTGTTGGTGGTTTACAATACTCATATTTTCCTCATTTATCCAAATTAATGCTCAATAGTTGTTCTTTTTTAAAGGGATTTTTTTTCAATGATAGTCTTGAGATCAAAATTGAGGAAATTGATAGAGTCACTTGCAGTTGCAGTAGCAAGAGTATAGTAGCATTTAATCTTTGAGAGAAAAAAAAAAATTGAAAAGAAAGATCAAAGTCGAGGTTGAAGGATGACCATCCGTGCAAGAGAATCAATCAGGGAGATGAAATGATAATTTTCCAATAGAAAATTGTTATGAAATTTTGAAGTTTTAAAAGATTCTGATTGAAGAGGAAGAAGAGTTATAGCAAAATTTGGTTTTTTAATTTTTTTTTAGAAGACACCTTGTTATTATTCAAATTGTTAATTTAATACATTTTTTATTTTATTTTTTTAGTTAAGCATAATTATAAAAAAAATTCCACTATAAACATCACTTTTTTTTATTTTTTTTTATAATAATCATAAATTGATTCAATAAATTTATACTTGCTAATTTCAATAGTTTTTTTAAGGGTGGGAGAGGTAGAATTCAAAATAGATGTAAAATATTTTTCTTAACTTTTTAAAATAAATAATAAGATTTCACTCAAAAAAATTTATAAAAATATTTATATATTCATATCTTATGATTATAAAATTTTACTAATACCCTTTTATTTTAATGATAAAACCTAACTTCAGTTTTTAACTTATTTGCAGTGAGTCTTGTTTCAGCTCTTCACTCACGCAATGCAATTATGACTTGTAAAATTAATCAAACTTATTTATAGTTATTATATAAACAATTTCTATAAAAGAAGTGTTTAATCTATTAGTATTTTGAAGCTATTTAACTTTAAGAACCAATGTAATTAAACAACTACATTACAGTTGGTACTTCCTTCGGTAGCAAATCCCTTCAAAACATTCAAGATTGCAGTGTTCTTTTTATCATGATTAACTAAAAAATATAAATAAATAAGACGATGATGTTAGAGTGGATTCAACGTCAATGATTATTGTAAAAACTTTAGCACGTTTGGAGATGAAATTGTTTTTTCAAAGAAAAAAATACTTCAACACAATTTTTGTTTGTTTAAACTTAAAAATAAAAATATTTATGTAATATGATTTCTTTAAAAAAAAAATTGTCAACATTACTATTTCAACTTTTAAAAAAAAATACTAATATATGGGTTAATATATTCTAAGGAAGTATTTTTTTCAGTTTTCCTGTGCAAAAATTGATTTTTTTTCAAACATAATTAATATAATTTTTAAAGCATGTTTTAAATAAAATTATACATTTAGAAGAAAAAAAACCAAAGGGGTTTAAGTTAAAATTGTCATATAATTAAGGAGTTGAACATAAGTAATTAATGTGTTGAACTCAAGATCGAATCGTTTGATAAAAATAATCATTGACTAAACTTTACTTATCTCCTGCTTAATTTAGAAATTAGTTTAAAATAAAGTTATAGGACACTGTTGTGAAATAAAAAAAAAGTTAAAATTATCGTATTATAATTTACAAAGAAAATAAAAGTAATTAAGCGGATACTTTATCACCAATAACTTCCTAGCTAGGAAATTTTAGTCTAATGATTTCTGAATTTCTGCTTCATAATAATAATTAACTGTTATATTTTCTTCTCTTCCAATATTTTAGGTGATCAATTCAATCAATGAAGACCAGGAAATGGAAGATACGGTATCGGGTGACTACAATGCATAATTATGTATATTTGTTGTGGATGATCGACATTGCCACATCGATACATTTAGACTTTGAAATTTCAAAGTTTAGAGAAGCACTCAAAAGACGAGTTTAATTTGTATGCATTCTAAATGTCTAAATATAACTTTTAGAATAATTATTATAAAAATTAATTGTAATGATACATCACAATCTTTGTACTTAATGATTCAATTATTAACGGTAAAAATATAGATTAATTACCTAATATTAGCATAAAATACCTAGATATACACTCTATAACATATATATATATATATATATATATATATCTAAAAGTTTAATAACATAGCTAACAACAAGTTATATTATGGTAGTTTAAAAGAAATCAACTATGTCATCACCAGTATGACCTCAAAATGAATTCTACCTGCAACTTACGTTACTTATTACTTGTTCCCATACTAAATAAGATCATCACCATCCAACTACAAGAAAAAACATGTAAGGATAAGCTAGTATTTAAAAGAAGGATCATGTAACAAGTATAAAAATAAATGCATCTATACTATCAACATCATCATGTAAACCACACAACAAAATGCCTTATGGCTTCCAATTTCACAACACAAAAGTAACACTTCAACATGACATTCCACAATCTAAAAAGGTAAACAACTAAACATCATACAACAATTTCAACTTGTTTCACAACATATACAACTCATCCACAATTCAACATAACATATGAACACCACCACAAACAACACATCATATGCATAACACCACAACTACACGCGTCGTTACACATTCAAAAGATCTCTTACAATGAAGATGAACAGTCTAAGTGACTTAGTCCTAACGAACCAACATGATATTTTTATACCTACTAAATTAATAACCAAATTAGATAAAAATTTACAACATGATTTCTTGGATTTTGTCACTTAAACTAGGAAGGTCTAATATTTTTGTTAAGTTATAACAACTTGCGTGTGAGTCTACCCCAATGTTAGCATGCATTACTAAGTCTCCTGTGAGATTAACTAATTAACTATCCTCCAAATACTATGTCCCTTTCAATACTTAGTTAGTGATTTTGACCTTCAACCTCATACTTTACTCAGTTTAGTCGCTTTATATACGTATGACTCAACCTATCCCCATACGAATCAACAATGGTCACTTTATAACTAATATAGCTCAACCTGACTCCTATATTGTGGTTAAATATATAACTGGTATACCTCGACCTTGCTCACATACCACATCAAGTAAAGTCATAGAGGAGACTCAACTATTTGCTTCAAGATTCAATTACTTAAGAAAATTTTTCAACAATTGAATTTGTAGAACACTACAACAATATCCTCATAATAGGATATCCAACTTTTTTAAAACACCGTTTCCTCTAGTTTTAAATTAATCAACACAAACACCCTAATGTCTTGAACATTCTCAACATCAACGCCTCAACATTCAATAATTTAATCATCTATATACATTATCCCATGTCAATGTATATAAAATCAACATCATTCATCAACATTCAACTATCAACAATTTAATTATCAATACATCATCCTAGATCAATGTATAAAGAACTAACAACATATATCAATACACCATATGAGATATGCAACTACCACCTACAAGTTCACCATTTTATCAATCAAACAACATATTTTCATAAGGCAACCCAAACCTAGCACCATTCTCCTCGTGTCTAGCATCATTAAGGAAAAGAGCTCTCGAGCTTGCCTATGTCTGATGCCACTTAATGTTGGGATTCATCCCAAGTCCCACATCGGTAAAATGAAAGGAACATTGGCTAGTTTATAAGTGTCCACCATTCCATATAGTATGAGGCCTTTTGGGAAGGAGCCCAAAAACAAAACCGTGCGGGCTTGGGCCCAAAGCGGACAATATCATACTATGGTGGAGGAACGGGTGGACTAGCGGGCCCTACAAGTGTTATCAGAGCCAACGGTTCGTCTGGGTTTGATGCGGGAAGACCCTCAGTGTTGTGCCTCGCGATGGAGATTCGAACTTGGTGCCTTGTGTCGAAAGTCTTCCTGATATTGTGGTGTTCAGGCGGCGTGTCCCGTAGAGTTAACAGCGGTACAAGATGGTGACGGATTATCGCTTGAGGGGAGGAGATCACGAGACATGTGGCCCTTGGTCTGAGGGGAGGTTTGTTGGGATTCATCCCAAGTCCCACATCGGTAAAATGAAAGGAACATTGGCTAGTTTATAAGTGTCCACCATTCCATATAGTATGAGGCCTTTTGGGAAGGAGCCCAAAAACAAAACCGTGCGGGCTTGGGCCCAAAGCGGACAATATCATACTATGGTGGAGGAACGGGTGGACAATCGGGCCCTACACTTAACCTACATCTGGCGTGGATGAGACAAATAGTATTTGATGCTCTCACACCTGGCATGGCCAAACCCCATGCCTAACATCATTTCAAGCAGAGAGTCTCTACTTGACTCATATTTGATGTTACTACATTAACACTCAACATCATTCAGGAAAAAATTTCTCTCTTAATCACGCTAGACACCACTCAACCTAGGTCTGACATCACTACGTCAGAGAACTCCAAGGTCGTTCATGTTTGGTGTCATTCAACCTACATCCATTATATTGTGATTAAGTTAGAGAGTTTCCCTCTAACTTAGCCCAACACTACCAATCTCACGATTGGTGTAAGTGAGGCATAGAGCTTCTAGCCTATGTCATGTTCAACGCCTTAAAGCTATGCCCGACATGATGATGAATTCCACACTTGGCAGATTCATAAATTGGCCCAAAACACTTGAAACTCAGAATAGAATCCAAGCATGCAACGTGTAATAACATGCATAGGCACTTCAAACAATTCAAATACAACATTAAAATCAACATGCAACCATCCTAAAATCAGATTCACCAATTTCACTTCACATGTTCGAAGCAACAAAACCCTTCAACATAAATTTCCATCTCAATCATTCACACATCCACAAATTTTGATGAATCCAAGTACCTTGTAATTCATGCATCACAATAGAATCAAACTAACTAACTTCTCTTACCTTAAAATCCATAGAATCAAAGGAAGAAAAGGGTGAAGAAGAAAGATGGGCTTTGAGCTAGCTCTAAGAAGCTCTACACCACATGACACCTACTACAATTCTCAATTTTAACAACTTTGAATCATCACTCTATGTAGAGTCACTTATGGTTCTAGAACTCTTTTCTCTAGACTATCTTCCTAAGATTTCTTAAGAAAAGAACTTATGAAACTTAAGTATTAAAAGAAACTTTATATACTTTTTTTCTCAGTCCAATTAGACCTTACTCAAAGAAATAAACACCTAAAACTTACAAATTTTTTTCTTAATTCTTAGAATTTTTCAATAATAAAACAATAAATCACCACAACACGGTTATTGATAAAATCAACATTAATTAACAAAAATGTACAGTGTTACATTAATGATTTTATTATATACCAACACTTTTATGATTGAAGATCGAATACTATCAATATATCATATTTTAAAAAAAAAAACTTAATAAAATTTCCAATAGTTTTCTTATACTTACATATTTTATATTGTTTGAATATGTAATTATCTAGAGTTACTTATCATAAGTTTCATCTTCCAAATTGAGCATCTTGCTATTTTTGCCAATTAATAAAAAAAGAAAGAGAACTGAATTCTTTTTTAAGAAAGAGGTTTTTAAGAACTAATTTTAAAATATTTATATTACAAGAATTTAGTTGAAAGTTTATATAAAAATTTAATTGGATTAGGTTCTCCATTATATAAAATACATACATCTTTTAAAATTTAATTTAGTTAAAAATTCATATTTTAGCTTTTTAGGAAGTAAGATCAGAAAGCTTTTAAAAATGTTGAGGTAAATAAGTGAAGTTTATTTATTTTTTTATAAGTACTTGTTTAGAAAAAATCCAAACTAACTTTAATTTACAAAAGAAAATTAAAAAATTTAATGAGAATTCACAGCTTATACATTAATTTAACTTTTTTAAATTCATATATAATAACTGTGTTTATATATGTGCAGTGTGAAAATAATTATTAAATAATTTAATTTTTTAATACAAAATATTTATATTTTAATATAAAATTTTACTTTTAATTTTTTACTATGCGTTCATAAACATAATATAATAAATATTCTATAATGAATAATTCATGCATAAAAAGTAAATTAGATAAACTCATATCATAATTAGTCTCTAATATTTTACGAGAGAAATATTTTAATTATTAAAATTTTATATATAGATAACAAGTGAATACATAGAAAATATAATTAATAATAAATTAAGCAAATTTATCTCTGATAACTTAAAAAACGGTTAACTATTACTTATAATTACGGCAAGAGAAAAATTTAGTTTGAAAAGAAATAAAAAGGTAAATAAATTTTAAGTCAATAATAACTAATATAAAATTAATAATATTTCAAATAATAAATATACTACCTAAGACAATTTCAGGGATTTTATACAAAAATAAATTCCTGCAAGTGCAAAGAGTTTTGGGGATTGCATAAAAAATGGTACTTAATGGATAGTGAAACTGAAAACTAATTGGGAACTTTTCGAACTTAGAAATTAATCAAATTAATGGAAGTAAATTTTGAACAAATTCTTCCCATACACATAGGGGAAGACTAATTCCTAGAAAGAAGTTTTTTTTTTTTTTTAATAAATTTTTTATTTTTAGGGTAGAAAACTTCTTAGTTCTTACAAAGAGTTGAAGTCAAGTCAAGTCAACAAAATTGGAGCCTCAAAAATCGAGAATGAAACTGCTTCTCTCGCGGAGAGAACACACACTCATAATTATTTGATTCACGCACAAAAACATGGTCTCGCATTGCTTCTTATGTTTACACTTCCCATGTTTTCTTCTCCTCGTTTCCGTTACATGTTGTTTTTCTCACCCTTCTCTCTTGGGCATACACCCTCTAGGTAGGTCCCTGTGTACCCCTTTGCTTCAAACCACCCAAAGCTTCAATCTTTTCCCCAGTGGGTGTGCCATTTTGCTGTTATTTGTGTATTTTGATGAAACTTGAATTGGGTTTTGGGTGCAGACGAGAAATATTACAGCTCTCAGGTGATCAAGTGTAAGGATGGATCAAAATCCTTCTCCAGAGACCGTCTCAATGACAACTTCTGTGACTGCCCTGATGGCACCGATGAGCCTGGTATGCCACATGATGAGTTTTGTGTTCTATTGCTAGATGTTTTTATGATTCAGAGGAAATTCAAAGGACAAAACTTGTATGCATTTTTGTAGATATTTTAGTGCTGTTTTCTAACTAGAGTTGGAGATTCATTTAGGTAATCCAAGGTAATAAAAGTTCCCATGAAAGGTCAATATTCTTATCGAGGTGAAACTCCAATTCTAATTGGTCAATAACACTAAAAGCACCTACCTATAGAACAACACTGTAACTAAGTTTTGTCCAAATTGGAAATTTGTAAGGAAATGTATATATCATATATATATATATATATATATTATCATTTT